TATATATATATCCTATCCACAACATAATGTCAATCCCTGAGTTTCTTTTGGCCACCTGCTCTCAACCTCTACACCAAAATACACACACATACACACACACACACACACACACACACAAAGTGGTCAGTTCATACATTTCCAACAGTTTCTCATTTTTTCCTTATTATTTCTCTAGAGAATTAGGTAGCAATATTCTCATTTATCTTAATATGTTAATACAGTAATGTATTGTTTATGTTCAGTTCTGCTTAAGATGCTTGTAAGATACTTCAGACTTTTTCTATATTGGTCCCCAAATTAGCTGCAATCTTTAAGGCCAGTTCTTTGAGGACTAAGCAAAGAGGAGATAAACTAGCAAGTTAGATTAAAGACTAACTGACCTCTATAACAGAAACATGCTCTGCATTTTTCTTCCATTATTACTTATAATTACTTGGACTGTGGTTTGAAAAGCAAAGAAAACAAAAAGGATGTGATCATCAAATGTGTAGGATAGATGCAAATGGAAGGTTAGAGGGAACAGAATGAATACTGACATGCTCACAAGAGAACAAGTTCATCAAGTTCATCTACAGATCTGCCCACCCAGTCAAGTTGCTTATCCAGCCCCTCTGTACATGGCCCAGGAACTGAAGCAAACCAGAAGCAAATGCAAAGCAAGACTTCTCAGATTCACTGGAGACTTGCTTGCCATCAACTTGGGGACTAATGAACTTGGAAACAAAAGGCCAGCCCTTTTTCATCCTAGAAAGCACAAGAGATGCAGACAAGACAGCAAGTTCTATGAACACAATCCTCTTCATAGAGCTCTGATAGCACAAAAATACATTAAGTCAATGATGGCAAATCTTTTAGAGACAAGTGCCCAGAACCTACTTAATGCAAAATGCAAATACTGCATTAAGCCTAAATATTGAGGTTTCAGTTTAGAAAAAAAACAAATGATAAATGTACATCTTCTATTTAAAAACAAATCATGTGCATGACATAGGTTCTCCATCACTGCACTAAGCAGTAAAGGCCTCTGAATTCCACTTACCTGGACAAAAAATATAAAGTGCTTGAAGGACGTATTGAGATGTGCTTCTTCCTGAAGCTGGATCACAGGGTCAAAATGCTGGTGATAAATGTGCGCATAGACCCTAAAGAGACGTTTGAGTATGGTTTTTGCCACAGACATGAAGTTCTTTGGAAATGGGACACCTGATAAAGAGATAAACACCAGCCTCTATTAAACAAAAGAAAATGAAGCAACACAATTTTGTCAGCAAAGATATGGCTGAAAAGAAGTAATATTTTTTAATTACTACTTTATGTATCTGTTATATCACATTTTCAAAATACAATGAAAATAAGCCAAAGTTTCTGTGGGGTAAGAACTAGTCTTCATTAAAGCCTGCTGTACCTCTAACACTCTACCACCTTACTGAAATGAAATGAGCTTCCTGACACCAAGCCTTCATACAAATATGTTAACATAGTAACATACTATCTGTGTTCAGTTCTATTTAAGATGCTTGTAAGAATCTTCAGACTTTTTCTGTATTAGTTACCAAATTAGCTGCAATCTGTTCATTCAGGCTATTTTATGAATTAGAGCAATTTTACAACCTTAAACATATAAAACCAGAAAGAATATATAATCCTTGTGGAAAAAAGGGAATCCTTATACATTGTTGTTAGAAATGTAGATTGATAAGCCATTCTAGAAAACAGTATGAAAAGTCCTAAAGAAAAGGATTATTGTATGACTCAGCAATTAAATCACCATTATCATAGGTATCTACTTTTACATACCCATTGCAGCAGTAATCAACTGCCACCACATGAACACAACCCAGGTGTGTGTCAACAGACGGATAAGGAACTTGTGAAATGCACGAACACTACACTGAAACAGTATTCATCAGCCTTACCACAAATGTAGATCGACTTGGAAAACATTATGCTAAGTATAAGGCAGACACAAAAGGAAAAATAATGCACAGCCTCACTTACACTGGGGAAAAATAAGATTAAATGTATAGAGAAAATAAAACTGTAGTTATCAGAGGTGGCAGATGGAATATAAGGAGACAGAAATCAAATGATATAAAATGGCAGACACTCAAGAAGAGTAAGTCTAAAGATCTAATGCACAAAATGAAGACTATAGTTAATAATGCATTATAGTTAAGATTTTCATTAAATGAATATAAGTGCTTTTGCCACTAACAAAAAATAATGGGTTATTGTGAGATAATGGACATGTAAACTTATTTCAGTACAAAAACCATTTCATGAGATATCTGTGTAAGTATATTTTATGTTATATACCTCAGATACACAATAAAATTTTTAAAAATTAATGAACATGACAATGAGGGAGGACAAAATAAAAAGTAAAATAATATAGATATAGAATCTATAGTGGTGCGCGCCTGTAATCCCAGCACTTGGGAGGCTGTAAACAGGCGGATCACTACGAGTCCGATCTAGTACTGAGACCCTGATCACTCTGTAGACCCTTCCCTAAAATACCAAACAAAATCTATAAATCTCTGTAGGATTCTTGTAGATTTTCTAAATTTCTGAAATTGGTTCAAAATAAAAAGTTAAAATATACAGAGAGATAAGAGATAAGGACATTCAAAACCACTATTTTAC